TGTCTCCATTTTTCTGTGAACAAATATTAGTTTATTTACTTCAGTAACTTCACATTTAAGCCATACTTTTATACAAGGAGTATTCCATGCTACATATATACCGTCCATCATTCTCTAATATCGCCCTCGTTATCATCTGAGCAATACCCGTAGTTTTACGTGTTGTTGTTGTTCTCGTCTTGAGGGATTTGCCATTTTTCATGTTATGACATGCAATACATGATAAAACTAATCCTTATTGAAGCAGACGACACCATTTTTTCCCCAATGTCCTTCTCCGAGTCTAATAAAACAAATGGTGTTCAAAACTATTCTTTGAAAACAAAATATTCCGGAAGAAGGGGTTAAAACGTTTTCTCACGATCTTAGCCAATTAGTAAATAGGATGCGGTACAATAATTTCATAGACGTATTTGGACCAATCAGAATCACATCAAATGATATTTTAAAGTGTGGTAAAATCAAAACTTTGAAACTGCGCATACTATAGAAAAACTGTACTAATTATGTGATAAGAAAAGTAATTACACAGGTATGTATGTATGTATGTATATATATATATATATATATATATATATATATATATATATATATATATATATATATATATATATATATATATATATATATATATATATATAAAGAACACAAATCATATGGCGAATGACAGTCTTTTCAAACTCACTGGATCCAGCAAGGGATCACGTGTGTCATGAATTTATTGAGATAGATGCAATAAACTGACGACAAACAGTGCAAAACTAGTATCTACCTAGCCTGAACGCTTTCGACTCTTAATGAGTCTTTTCCAAATGCATATACAAAACATAGGCAAAACAAAGATATAAAACATAGAAAACGTTGTTTGGAAAACTCTACAAGGTTGTTTCTACATTAATTAATACTATAGATGCATTACGTCTCAACCAGCCTAGATACATTTGTTGCGGCTACTGAGAAATATTTCTATTTAACTAGAAATCTGTTAGTCATAGCGACAACTATTACTTTGTGTACATTTATGTAGAGCAAATTATATCCCGGAAATTTGATTATATTCTGGATATGTTATTTTTTATATTAGTAATGAAAGGATACTAAAAAGATTTAGAAAATTTTGAAAACAAAATGTGTCGGCTGCAAAGGATAATTCTACTAGTGCATAGCTTTCTTTGTATAGTCTTCATTATTTTGACCGTTTGGGTTCTATGTCCTAAGGCGGAAAATCCAGTAAGATTTATTTTCCTTCCTGGTTTCGGAACTCCAGTTGGGGTTGTTAGCAATTGTGATAAGAGTTATACCACTGAATGTGTGGCCAGGGGAGGAGAAGTGTTCTACAACCGGGCTTCTGTACAGATTCTTTGTCATCCAATCAGATCGATGAAGGTTTATCCTTTTGTGTAGCTTTTCAGTTTCACCGACATACTGAAGGCTACATATATTACATGTAATGAGATAAATCACATTCTGTTTTGCACGTTTTGTTTGGACTGTATATGTTTAGTTTTTCTCTAGTCATTGTGCTAGTGAATTTCCAGGTCTCTATCATATGTTGACAGGATTTGCATCTGTTAACTCCACAGAGGCTAGATTAGGTGTGGTGGTTTTGACTAGTGACTGGCGTTAGCTTTGCCCTGGCTAGGTTGTCCTTGAGGATGTTTTGGTCTCCGGTAGGCTATTTCAGGTTTGTTTGGAAGGATTCGTTTTAGTAAATCTGATGATTCCACAGTGTTTCGCCATGATTTTACCTAATTTTGGGTTGTCTGGATGGTAGGTCAGGTATCCTATCAGCCTTTTCCGTTTTTCCATATTTGAGTACGTCAACGCGGTTGTTGTTTAGTCCTTTGGATTGCCTCCACAATCAGCTCTTTTAGACAAAGTGAAAATGAGAGAAAAGAACTTATTAAACTGCGAAATCATTATTATGATCAATCCCTTAACTGAAGAGGTCGTTGGTCCACAACAGTTGACTTTACAACCAATTCTCTCCATCTTTCCCTGTTCTCTACTGTCCTTTAGATCTCCAAATCCCATGGCTGTCCATTCTTTAATGTTATCTTCCCGCCCATTTTTCTGGCTGCTTCTTCTTCTGCTACCTCGCACTGTGCTTTGCAGGATTGTTGTTGCCAGTCTAGATGATTGTGAGACATGACCGTACCACTTCACTTTATGCTTTTTACAGTAGTCAAGAGGTCTTCATCGGATGCGATGGCTTGCTGGATCCTGTTGTTGACTTCATCATTGGTTACATGGTCAATGTACGATAAACCCAAGATCTTTCTGTAGCATCTCATCCTTCTTTCTAGATCTGATATAATGAGTCCATTTTTCAGAACATACAGAGGGATGGACTTGACAACTGAGCGAATTAAATCCCAAAATAATTCATGAATTACTACCACATGTCCAAATAATTTAAAGTCATGAATAAAATTTAGTAGAAATCAGAATAAATCCAAACACCAACGGCTCTGATGTGAATGTGGTAGCGTTTAGAGTGTTGAGGTGCTAACAGTCTCACATTTAAACACAGTAAATTAATTCTAGTTTTGAATTCCCTATAAATTCCAGTGAATGTCTCTTACCAAGAATTTATCAGAGCAATAAGTTATCGTTTGAATTCAGTAATATTAGCAGGAAATAAATTCTGAGTAAAAATAATAACATTGAAATTCGCTTTAAACTATAGTACAACTAATGTTCATTAGACAGATGTTCAGCAAATTATATCGAGAATCGTTTCCACTAAAAATTATCGAGATTAATTTATGATCTATTTTGATAAAGACGGCAGCCTTATAATTGATGAAAATTTCCCTCCCGTGTTGTGCGTGACATCGTCCGGTACCAACGTTTCAATCTTCGTAATTGGATTCATCAGATATTCTATCTTGATTTGAGACTTTTTTTCATTTACGAATTCGACCTCCCAGAGTTTCCAAATTTCCTTTTGATTTGGTAGAGCTAGGATCCAATCTTCATACTTGGATTCACCTCATGGTCTGTCTTGATAAGAGATAACTTCCCTCACAAGCAATAAAGAATCTAATCTACTTAACCTCCTAAATGTCCTTCTGATTTAATAGAGCCAGGGTTTAATCATTAGATTAATGAAATATTTGGCGCATTGTGGTAAAATAAACACATTAACTTCTATCTCGATGGAACTCTCATGATCTGGAACAGAGAGCACGCTGTGCAGAGTGATATTAACGTGATAAACGTAGTACCCAAATACGGGGGTATCTTGAGGCAGTATAAATAACACGGAGGCTACGTGCATCTCAGTTCGTCAGTTCCAGAATTAGAGAGTCCTATCTTCCTAAAGGTAAGAATCGTTGTATTCGAATAGGAACCTTTAAAAGTTAAGATTTCTGTGGCAACCTTTGTAGTTGCAATATTCTTGTAAGTTCTCTTTTCATCCTAATATTATAATGTAATGGAATATTTTTTAAAGACTTTATGTTCATTTGCATTTGTATGAATTTGCTATCAGCTTCATGCTAAGATTTAGTACGTTTTAGGTAATAAAGAATAATGCACAGTGATATAGTCCAAGTCGGTATTCTAAATTAAATTGAGAAAATATATTTCTTTCAAATGATTGTTGCATTATTCGCAACTATTGAATTTATGCACTTTGAATTCAAGCGATATCTAATTACTAAAATGCAAAAACCATACAAGCGCATGAAGTTGGTAGATCGCAAGAAAATTATGCAATATATTTTCTAATTATTGGCCAGTAGAATTAAATAGCTTGCTTGTGTGTAATTGGACAAAATAGCTACCAAAATGTATTAAATATGTACTGTATGTATTTTCAATATAAAGGTGTTATAAGTTTTATCTCTAGAATGTAGCTTTATATATCTATCTATATCAATAAAGTTCGATAGTTCCAGAATTAGAAAGTACTATTTTCTTACAGCGTTTTCCGCTACTTTTTGCTTCGCCAGTTTCCAAAGAATGTAGCCGTATCTACACTATTATGCATGTCACCTTGTCTTTGAGTGGGCCGAACACTTGTCTCTCCGTTTCTCTATGATCAAGATTCAAGACATCTCTAAAAGTTGCGAGTATTCCTTCTCGTAGCAAAATATGAGATGAAGATTATGATAAACAATTTTTCATATCACAATAAGAGGAAGAAGTAAAAATTTCATCCCTACTGGATACAACAATTAAGTGGTATAATTTACAGAACGACTAAAACATCCTTTCAAAAACAAGATTATATAGTGCTCTACTTGACCTCAGGTCACAATTAGCATTTTCTATTTTAAAAATGTACTTAATGTAAAATAACTTTCTAAAACGATCCTGATGTTTACAAAAGAAAAATTATAACCTGTACTATATATAATTCAATTAAGAAATAATTAAACTTAGACTTAGACAAAAGTTCAAATATATTAACTTCAATTACAAATTATTATGTTTTTAATCCCATACACATAGAGAATAATTTAGCTATATATTAATTGTTTACACAGAATAAAATTGAAAATGTCAATTTGGGTCAAGCAGAAATAAACCGAATTTTGGACAAGGTCATGTCGAATATACAATGTTGCATTACAATAGCATGTACTGTTCTGTCAAAATATATTTCAAATAAAATTATCGCTTTTCTTCTTGCCCTGCCAGTATTATTTGTGGTGGTTTTCTAATCGTTATTTAAGCTTAACCAATGATATTCCACATTTTTACTATTGTTTTATTTTTACCTCATTAAAATACTGTTTTCAATTTGTGAGTGTGTGATTTATAATTTCAACGTAGTTTGTAAACAAAAGTTCAGTCATATCGCTACGATGTCTGCATTGTAACAGTTTATAGTACTGTCTAGCACTGGGACATCATGCTCTAGACATGTGGCATGATATTCCACCTAGTCACATTATCCTGACACCAGGCCAACCAGTCCTAACACTAACCTCTTAATGCTGAGCCCCAAACGAGTCAGCTGTTAAAACCATTTTTGTAAGTCTTTGGGATGTTATGGCCGGGGATAGAACCCGCGACCTTTCTGCATCCGAAGCAGACGCTCTAACCACTAGACCACCGGAACGGTTCCTATTGTTTTGTATTATACCTTTATATCATCTTTTCCTGGTAGTATTTGAGTAAGATATATATATATATATATATATATATATATATATATATATATATATATATATATATATATATATATATATATAACCCATTCTAGAAATTCTCTTCCATTTTAAGATTGCATTACTGTGTTTTTCCTGTTCCTTTACAATAGAAGCAGAACAATATATCATTTCCGCAAATCTTGCTTAAAAAGGATATTAAAATACATATTCTCATTCCTGGGAAAACGGAACATGTAGGAGATTGATACGTTTTCTCCTAATTTTGTCAGCTTCTTGAGAACAAAAGTAAATAATGGTTTTAAATTTTGAAGTGATATTAATAGTGCCTGTGTTTTCTTTAAATTGAAAGTAACATTTAATGTGATGGAATGCATATATACCGTCATGTCGAAGCGATGACTAGCCACGAGTTGTATATCTGCATAAATAAGAGCCATCATCTGTTTTCCATATTGCTACTGCGAGAGGAATAAAAGCTCCAAAGTCAATTTATTGTTTCCACGATGATCATTATGATTGTCATCCTTACAAGTTTCCAGGGATCGAGCGTTTCCAAAGGTAAGTTACACAATTGCCTTAGCAAACCTTAATTAACATATTTATTGTTTACATTATTCCTCAGTTGTCTTCTTAGTTTGTAAATGCATATGTATTGGTATATAGCCAGATCAGATCGGTCTTGAATGCTTAGTCATGGATATGTAACCAGATCAGATCGGTCGTAAATGCTTATGTATTGGTATATAATCAGATGAGATCGGTCATAAATGCTTACGTATTGGTATATTATCAGATCTGATCGGTCGTAAATGCTTATGTATTGGTATATAACAATTTGAGATAGGTCATAAATGCTTAGTCATGAATTTATTATCAGATCAGATCGGTCGTAAATGCTTATGTATTGGTATATAACCAGATCAGATCGGTCGTAAATGCTTACGCATTGGTATATAATCAGATTAGATCGGTCGTAAATGATTATGTATTGGTATATAACCAGATCAGATTGGTCGCAAAAATGCTTAGTCACGTGTATATAACCATATCTGATCGATCGTAAATTCTTAGTCATGGGTATATAATTATATCAGATCGGTCGTAAATGCTTATGTATCGGTACATAACCAGATTAGTTCGATCGTAAATGCTTATATGTTGGTATATAATTATATCAGATCGGTCGTAAATGCTTATATATTGGTATATAATTATATCAGATCGGTCGTAAATGCTTATATGCTGGTATATAAATATATCAGATCGGTCGTAAATGCTTAGATGCCTATTGATATGGTTTAAATTGTTTTAGAGTGAGGGGCGGGTAACTCTATGTGATGCTGCATTGATCTGTGTCATATACGCACCCTTCTTCAAATTTTATAAGTTCCAATTCAAAGTCAATCATTTTATCACGTTCTTTTTGTACCGCGCGATTAACGTTAGAGCTGATTCTGCTGTGTTTATGACGTATGTAAGTTTAGTCTCATTGTTGTCGAACACCATATCATGCTTCCTGTGTTGTATCATATGCTTGGTTGAGTCGGGATATTCTGTTTAATAGTGAACGACCTTGATCTTGTTTGATTGTCTTCACATTGCTGAGAATGGATGACAACTGCTGCGCTGGAGTTTTGACACAACGCCTCTCTGGAGTTTTGACCACACAACGCCTCTCTCTCTCTCTCTCTCTCTCTCTCTCTCTCTCTCTCTCTCTCTCTCTCTCTCTCTCTCTCTCTCTCTCTCTCTCTCTCTCTCTCTCTCTCTCTCTCTCTCTCACACACACACACACGCTTAGTTTAATCCAGATGATGTCACCATCCTTTGGTAATTCAGCTTATATTCACTCACTATCCATCATTTAACACCCAGCTATTCTTAATGTTCTTTTCTTATTCTTTCTTTTCTTGTATTCAACCTTACTTCAATGTCGTTGCGATGACTAGACATGCTTTGAGGCATGTTGGAGTGAAGTTTGATTTCAAGTGAAAGTATCAGCAGACTTCAATATATTATAATATACAAATAATTGGAAAGCTTTATTGTTAAAAAATGATGCCTTGTAATTCATAAATAAAAATTACTCTATACTTTTGATTTTGGATGCCTTATGTTATTTGATATCCTGTGTCCAATGTGAAAACCAACCTCTCTTGAGATAACACACTGAGAAAAATAGGGCTAGATTGGGTCACATATACGCACATCCACATAAAATATAAATTAAATATCCGACGTTTTTGCTAAAAGTGCTTTATTTTATCTGGAGTGAACGTTGTGGAAATTTGTCAATAATTGAAGGCTTGTATAAGAGTCCTGATAATGACCACGTGTTCAAGATAAGATGGTGTCTGTAGCAACACATTTTAGAAACTGAAAGCCACCCACGTTATCCTACCTTTATAGCAGTATAGAATAGTGTTAAAAAACGTCTGTAATCCTTTGAACAATATTCGACACAAGTGGGTTCTTAATTCAGGCCATCGGTCTATTAAATTTTGATAAGATCATTTATAATCATCCGTATCTGGCGAGACATAACACAACTTTAAACATTAGAAATATCATAACATTTCGATAAATCCTGAGCTTGACTGATATTGTATACCGAAAATTCAAATTCCCTATATATTCCAGTAATCAACTTGACTCTTTTTGGGTTTGCAAAATGTGTTCTTTTTTGACTCTTTCACTGGATACTGCTACTGTTACTACTACTACTACTACTACTACTACTACTACTACTACTACCACTACTACTACACCTACTACTACCACTACTACTACTATTACTACTGCTGCTGCTACTACAACAACAACAACTACTCCTACTACTACTACTACTACTACTACTACTACTACTACTACTACTACTAATAATAATAATAATAATAATAATAATAATAATAATAATAATAATAATAATAATAATAATAATAATAATGAAGAAGGACACGAATTTTCTGTGCGGATGAAAGAAAGGTTCGTATGTACTGTACTGTTCACTGTTTTTTATTGGTTTGCGAAATGTGTTCACGCATTCAATTTCATTAAATTTCAGGAGTATAAAACATTTCAATGCAATCAATGCTTAGTGGGAAAATGCCATATATTAACAAAACTCAATTCCAGGATAAGCAACAATAATCACTCTTAAGATAGACGACAATAATTAATCTCACATAAGCAGCAATACTTAGTCTTAAGATAAACCAACATACTCAATCTCATAATGAGCAACTATACTCAATCTCACAATAATCATTAAGGCTCAGTCTCAGGATAAACAACAGTACTCAGTCTCAAGTAATTGTCAATACTCGGTCTCAAGATAAACAACAATACTTAGTCTCACAATAAGCAATAATACTCAGTCTCAAGATAAGCAAAAAATGCTCGTACTCTCTATAAACAACAATACTTAGTCTCAGAATAAGCAACAATACTTATTCACAGGATAAACAAAAATACTCAATCTCAGAAAAAGTAACAATATTCAGTCTTTAGATAAGCAAATATATTCAGTCGCAAGATAAACAACAAAATTCATTCTCGAACATTTTAGATTAATTTCTTCATAAAAGATTTGGGAATGTAACAACCAACTTTTAGTTGCCTTAAAGAATTTTTTACCTTTAGTCTCACTGATGTGAGATGTGTATCACAGACCATATAATTTTTTAGACGCGAAAGAAACTAACAAATTTATAAATGATTATCCAGTCATAATAAAAACGTTTGGGTACAATGAAAGTTATTTTAAAACTTTAACAAATGTGATTACGCTGGATTACATCTTACCGTTCCTTAAGTTAAAGTCGAGAATTAGGAAACACTCACATTAAATTTGGATGATTCTTTTTTTTTGTTAAAAAAACAAATTTACGTGAAAAAAAAATTAGATATCAAACCTTATAAATACAATGGAAAAAGGTAAAATATCAACGTGTATCACTTGTATGAAAAGCAGTCGAACAAGAGTACATAATTTATTCCTGTAATATAAAAGAAAATGTAAGTACAAGGTAGTGATTGATATGTTTAAAAGAATACACTCCGAGAGTGGGAATCAGAGATTGAAAGAATTATAAACAAGTTAGCAAATAAAACAAAGTCTAGATGAATGAGGAAATCAATGATATAATGGATAAACGAATAAAGAAATAAACAAACAATTTTAGATCACCTTTGCAAGAACCATACTTTATTCATATAAGTCCGAGATAAAATTTACAATGTTCTTGTAAGTTCCTGATAAACTCTACCCAATTAAGTCGGAGATAATATTTACAATGTTCTTTTCAGTCTGGTAATCTCTACTGTGCTCACGGTACAAAGAAAAGCTTATCTTTTCGTGTGGGTCGCAGTTTTATGCAAATGTATTCAGCCGGTTTAAATATATTATAATTAGTATGCAACAGTAATTGAAAAGTTGTAATTAATATCCTTTTGACCCATTGTAACTAGACTAGGACGACCTGCATAATATGTAATTAATATCCTTTTGACATCCATGGTAACTAGACTAGGACGACCTGCATAATATGTAATTAATATCCTTTTGACATCCATGGTGATTAGACTAGTCGACCTGCATATTATATAGTTAATATCCTTTTGACATCCATGGTTACTTTACTAGGTCGACCTGCATAATTACTACTACTTATTGACAAAACTTTTTTGTTTCAAAATATATTTGGCTTTATCAGGACTCTAAATCCAACAAATAAGCACGAAATTGATCGATTCTTAACAATGCAATCAGAAATTAACGGATGTTAAGCATACAGGACCATTAAAAATTTTGCCGTAGCTTTTCATTTATGTGCTGTTTTCAAATAAGGATTGTTGCCCGTTCCACTTTCAGATATATGTACTTTTGACGAAGGACTCTGCAGCTGGGTACAAGGACAAACGGATGATTTCGATTGGAAAAGACAATCAG